AAAAGGCACTGGGCAACAGAGTGAGACTCTGACTCAAAATAAAATAAAAATACAAAAATTAGCCAGGTGTGGTGGCATATCCCTGTAGTCCCACCTACAGCTACTTGGGAGACTGAGGCAGAAGGATCCCTTGAGCACAAGAGATAAAGGCAGTGCCACTGCACTCCAACCTAAGTGACAAAGTGAGACCCTGTCTTAAAGAAGCAAACAAAACCAAAACAATAGCAATCGTCTTCATCACAAAAGGAAGATTAAACAAGGGAGGACCCCAAAAAAACCGGAATTACCTTTTGCAGGGCAGACCCCTTGTAGTACTGGCTTCCCCCACTAGGTAAGTGTTCTGGGAACGCATTGCATCAGTGTACCAGCTAGTGTTGTGAGAGACTGCATCATTCAGTTTCAGTGATTTTTTTTTTTTTTTTTTTGAGATTCTTTCAACATGTTTGTCCATTTCATGATGGATGATTTACGTGCGCACCTGCCCACACCATACTGTGTTCAGCAGTTTTTGACCAAAAACAGCATGACCCCTTTGCCCCCTTGCCCCACCTGTCCTATTTCACCTGACCTCACCCTGAGTGACTATTTTTTGTTTCCCAGATGAAAAAAGTCCTCAAAGGGAAATGTTTTGGCAATGTGGAAGAGGTGAAACAAAAAACTACAGAAGAACTAAAAGGTATCCAAATTGACAAGTTCAAACACTGTTTTGAGCAGTGGAAAAAGTGTCTTAACAGGTGTATTGCAGCAAATGGAGAGTACTTTGAAGGTGGCTGAAGCTTAAACATTTAAGAATAAATACACAACTTTTTATAAATAAATCCCAGAGTATTTTGAGGGGGTCCCCTAATATTTATTGAATATTTCCTGAGTTGTGAAATTCCAGGCTCAGTTCCTCACCAATCCTTTTAACAGCCCTTGGAGGTAAGTGCACATATTACATTCAACAGACATGAAAAAACTGAGGTTTCAGGTGATTAAGTAACTTGCCCAAGATCACACAGGTTGTGAGTAGGGAAGCTGGGATTCAAACTCGCTCTTAATCCCTATACTGCATTCACTCTCCCAGGGATTCCCTTCTCACCCTGGGGTAACAACACTGGGCATTCTGGGCCTGGCATTTCCTGAAGGTCAGTCCAGATCAGCTTATCATCCTGTTTTTAATAGGCAGTGCCACAAGACAACTAATCCTCCTGACAAATCCCCTCTACTCTAGTTCCCAGAAATCTTTTTCCTTTTTTTTGGAAAGAGAGGGTCTTACTCTTTTTTTTAGGGACAGGCTGGATTTTGGAGTGCAGTGGTATGATCATGGCTCAATGCAGCCTTGACCTTCTGAGCTCCTGAGCTCAAGCGATCCTCCTGCCTCAGTCTCCCAAAGTGCTGAAATTACAGATGTGAGTCACCATGCCCGGCTCTCTGAAATTTTTTAAAAGATAAAACACAGATACTTGAGAAATTAAGCCTCATGTATCCTTTTCTCCTCCATGTACCCTCTTTCATCTGCTCCCCATGGCATCCAGTCAACTACAAACTTCTCTTGCTGTTTATTTGTCCCTTAATAAGCCCTATCTCCTCTCAGAAAGCCATTTAGCACTGCACCACTTAATTTCTCCTCGAGGCAGAAGCTGCCAGATGGGGCCTTTGTCCAAGCCACGTCAATTTGTCTTATTTTTAAACAGCAGTGAACATTGCATGAAACTAAAATAGAAGTTGGTTCCCAGGTGTGGACTCACTGACCAGGGGCGTGATCCAGGGTGTGTGGATATGTCCACCTGGGGCAGCTGTTCCAAACAGGTTGGATTAAGGAGGGAGTGACTTTCCCAGGCAGCCCTGGGACAGCTGCTGGTGGTGTCTGGGCATCACTCAATGCAGGGACACACTATTTTTCCACTTCATCTGAGTCCGGTCAGTCATCGCCTCCTCCAGCTGGATGCTCTGGGCTGTGTATCCTGACCCTTCCACAGACATGCTCCTGACAACTGAGGAGACAGTGGATTTCAGAGAACTGGGAGACCAGCACAAAGTGACCCAGGGCAAAAAGGAAATGTTCCTAATGTCTATTTTTTTAATCCCTAAAATTTTCATAAATTTAGCCTCTGGTTCCATAACATAACTATGTTTAGGTTACTATAGATTTAATTATTTAAATTGTGTACCAGACAAATTATTAAACCATGCTCCCCTAAAAATCTTGTTTTTAAATGAACATCCCACAATCATGTTGATCCTATAGCTTAGGTACTCCTAGATGCACAATAGGGAGTCTGGAAGCCGTGTGTGTTTCTGTTTGGGAAGTGTAACCCTGGAGATAGGCGGTCTCCATCTTGGGAAGGGTAAACCACCCTCAGTGACTGAAAATGTTCCTACGCCCTCAAAGGCAGAAAGGATCATTACCAGTGCAGCAGTGACCTCCTGGGGATCCAAAAAATAATATAAAAGATGGAGATTGGTCTGACTTACAGCTTGTGGGTGCCTCCATTAACCTCGAGATATTTACATCATGGTAGGACTTGACACGACAATGCTCCAGCCCATTTCACAAAAGCGACTGTTCATAAAAATATACATACGCCATATGCTTCTCTCCATAGCTCTCTATCTTCCAGCACCTTCAGAACCATAATAAGCAGGGGAGTCCTTTATTGGAAGGGGAAGGATGAGACTTAGCATTTGTTGGTGGAGGTTCCCTGGTCCTGCCTCTGACATGCCTCTGGACTGGCCATACAACATTTGCCAAAATCTTGAGAACCAGTTGTGATATTTAAAGCACTCTCTCAAAAACAAAAACAAAAAAAACCCAGAAAACAGAAAACCAGGCTTTCCTTCACTCTGTGAGGTTTCCTTTCTCATAGAGAGTTTGGACCATTCCAATACCTTAAAGTAGCCTTATTCTTGGGTATTTAACAAGTATTTCCGGGGCTACTTTTAAGGGGGAAAAAATGTCATCCCCCAAGTCAGCAGAGAGACCATGAAGAGTTTGATAGTTACAACGGCACTTTCGGTGGAGGAGTATTCACCTCAGATGAATAAATAAGCAAGCAGATTTTTATATAAATAAATACATTTCCAGAATGACACAGGGAAGCAAATCTGGGGTGACTGTACTATTCTTCATAGAGAGTGAAAGTGATGTGGGCAGAGTGGAAACGCAGAAGGAGCTATCAATTGAAAAATGCTTAGAAACCTGTTCTTGGTTTTGCATGTCAGGAGGAATTCATACTAAACTGCTACAGACACATGGCCCTCAAAATCGCAGAAGGGAACTCAGTAGCCATTTAGATGGCATTGCCCATGGAGTGATTTGTCCTAGTCTGCTGCACAAAGCTCCCAGAGCCACAGGACACTTCAAAGAACTCTGTGGTTGCTCTGGGTGATAAGGCTACTCCCCAAATCTAACATCCCTGTTTCTTTTATAGACTCTGACCAAACTTACCTTGGCCTTCCAAATGGAAGCTCCTTCATTTCTGGGCACTGGAGGGATCCTCTGAGAAGATGGGATCTTAGGAAGATATGTCTCCAGAAGGCCCCAAGGAAGGGAGGAAGACACCAAACACTTCATCCTCCTCAAAGGCTTTTGGGGAGTCAAAGTAGAAAAGTGGAATTTTACTCCAATCTCTTTCTCTGTGGAAGAGTGGACTTGTCATGCCCAGGGCAGCTCAGATTCCAACAGAAATAAACAATAGCTCGCTCAGCAGGCTCAGACCAGTGGAGAAACCCAGCAAAGGAAAGCCTGCCTCTCCAGGCCTGGCCGCATTCAGAGGTTCCAACTTCAAGCCAGCTAGGCTCAGTCAAAAAGACCCCATGCGGAATGTTGCTTTGGTTCCATTTTTAGGGAGGGACATTTCCAAATGCAGACTTAGAAGAGCACACACCTCCAGAACAGATCTTGAAACTGTGTCACACAAGAAATAATTGAGGGCACCTGGAAAGTTAAATTTGGCTTGGCATGTTCAAAAGGCTTCATGAGACACTTGATGAATGCCTTAAAACATTTAAAAATGGATGGAAGATAGATAGTATTACCTGCAAGAGCAGAACTGTTTGTATAGTTGACTATGCAGAAGCGAGACTTTCTGAAATGAGAGCTCTTTGAAAATGGAATGTGGTGCCTTGTGAAGCAGGAAGTTCCTTAGCTGGAGGTGGGAAAGCTAGAGCTTTGATACCGCTTGAGGGAGAGTGCATCCCAGTCGGTGAGAACTGTGGGCTTTAGTGTCCAGCTAGACTCAGGTTCAGGGTTCATGAGGCTTTGGGAAGGGTTTCTGTTGTTGTTGTTGTTTGACCCTCAATTTTCTCATTTGTGAAATGGGTATGATAATATCCACTCTAGAGGTTATTATGCAAGCAAAACTCATTAATGTGAGTGATTGGCAGGTAAGAAATGCTAATAATTTGATGGGAAGATAAAGGGCATAATTTCTTCCAATTTCTTCAGCCCTCCCTATGGTTCTTGCGGATCTCATTTCATCAAAATTCCTGGTACCTTCTTTCTCTTCCCTGACAGCCCAGGCTGTTCTATGTCAGCACTGCTCCAGATCTTTCTAGACTGTGGCCAATGTCCTCATCTTTCCTATTGCCACTCTCCTCCTCTTTCCTACACCCCAGTTCCTTGAAACTCTGTTTCTTTGGTCATAACTGGCTATTCTGGTAAATAATATATATTAAGAATACCAAGTTGCTATGATAGAATTATTACCTTCTCCTTTAAAATATTTCTCCTGCTAGGAAGCAAAGGCTGAACCCAGTACCTGGTCAAGAGTAAGCAATCAATCAAAATTCTAAATGATCTTGAGGACAGATCTCTTACTAGTGGGATTCCACAGAGCATGCCTTGCCATTCTAGAGAGATTACAGTGGTGGTCATTTGAGGCAAGATAGAAAACGGCATTCGCATGACTTGGGCTGATTTGGGAGATATTAAAGCAAATGGACATTCCTCCATTCACCCATTAATTTTCTAAGGATACTTAAAATTCACTCAGACCCCTGTCTTCCTCCCACTCAAGAAAAGAGAAGACCTATGTACAGAGGCACTGGAAGGATGTGCACGTGGGAGATTTCATCCAAATGCGATGCAACGAGATCATCCCAGCAGACATACTCCTCCTCTTTTCCTCGGACCCCAGCGGGATATGCCACCTGGAAACTGCCAACTTGGATGGAGAGACAAACCTCAAACAAAGGCGTGTTGTGAAGGGCTTCTCACAGCAGGTAGGGTTCTTTCTAAGGTCTTCCATGGGCAAAAGGGAGTGAGCTAAGCCTACTGGACAATTGAACTGAGCCTCAAGGGGAGAGGGGAAAGTGGTGGGTGACTCCTCTTCCCAAGTACTTCAAACACACTTAATCTTCCCAGTAGCCCTCTAAGATGGACATTATCTCCATATCATAGATGAGGAAACTGAGGCTGAGACAAGTTAAATAACTTGATGAAGGCTTCAGTTTCTAAATGGGGACCCACCTTTGTTCAACTGAGGAAACTATACTCTCTGCTCTAAATCAAGCAGTCTAATATTCAATCACTGACCCTTGGGACAAACTCTTCTGTGTTCATCACCCCTGCTCACTGCCCAGATCAGCTCTAGCAATCTCTCCATGAATCCCCTCTAATATTCCTTTGACCTCTCCTAAACCACCTCAAGTATTATTAACTATTTTTCCATACGTGAATATCTTAGCTTCTCAACAGTACTTCAACCTCCTTAAGGGCAGAGAGCGATCACTGACACTTTTTGTTTAATCCCCACCCTTATATAAATGGCTCCTGGGACATAATGGAGAAATCATTCTTGTTTGGTGGGTAAGAATTCAGTCTCTGTGGTCTGACAGAGCTGAGTGCAAAACCCATGTCCCATCACTTATAAGTTGTCTCACCTTAGACAAGTCATTACCCTTTCACACTCTAGTTCCCTCATTAAAAAATGGGAATGAAAAGAGCACCCTCTCCTCAGGGTAGTTTTGAAGATTAAGTGATAGATACCGGAATTACTGAGCATGAAGATGATAGGCACAGTAAGAGAGTAGTAAATAACAGGCATTAATACCAATAACTTTGGTAGGCAATATGTGTTGACTGACTGAAACTAGGGGTGATATTCCAATATGCAATTTGAATTCCCCTTTGGGGGTTGGCTTCCAATATGTTGCCTTTCTCTAACCATAGAAAAGAGTAAAATTTTATTACTTTCTTCACTCTGCCAGTCTTTGGCTGAGGAGAAATTGAATGAGTCAGGGGATTTGGGAGAAAGAGGCAAATGCTTCATTTCTCAGAGATTCTCATGAGCCAGAGTTCAGTTGAGTATACAGAAATTTCTCAGGAGAATTCCTAAACCTCACCTTGCCTCTAAGTACCTGATAATCAGTTTTCATAAACTCCTTTCTGTGTGATTGACTCAGTCCTCGGAAATCCATTCCTTCAGCCTGACAATGGGAAGAATAGTAGCTACCCCACAGATATGAGCTACCATGCCAGGCCTAAAGGGTAGGACTTTTAAAATATACTATTATACCATTATCATATTTGAAAAATTATCAGTAATTTTTTGAAAGTTATTATTAATTTTCAAGTCAACATTTTCCAGTTTATTTGAATCAGGATCCAAACAAGGCCAGATATTAAGACTTGTTTCTTTCATCTCTTTTACTGTTTAAGTTCTCCCTTTAGCTCTCTTTTTTTCATACATATGAGGTTTTGTTGCTAAAGAAACCAGGATGGTTGTCCTGTGAAGTTTCCCATAGTCTGGATCATGCCATAGTACCATTTAATGTATTTCTCTGACCATTGTATTTCTATAAACCAATAGTAGGATCTAGTGCCTAAATCAGATTCAGGTTATATGTGGTGTTTGCGCATGCGCTTGTCAATGTTGCATCATAGGAACTACAGTGCGCTACTATCCTAGGCGCAAGATGTCTTTTTCAATGTTCATAGTAATTGACGATGGTTGTTTAGAGCCATTAATGCAATGGGATTTGCAAAATGGTGGTATTTCAATTTATTTATGAAAAAAATTCCCCTTGTCAAGTATTTTATCACTCTGAGGTATCCTCTTGTAGGGAAAATGCAGGGCAAGTGTTTGATCCTTTCCTTTTATTTACCAGTTTTCAAAATAATGCATTGGTTCCCAACCATCCTACAAAGGTATCCAATGAGTTTTACTTTTTGAGCATCAGTATGAACTCATGGATTTAAATATATTTGACAGATTAAAGCATATTTTGATGCTAGTGCAGTTTTCTTTTTTGATTGCCTGTCAGTAGGAACGTCTGAAAAAGAAGAAGTGGCCTCTGAGTTCTTTTGACCTGACCTCAGGAGCCTTTGATAGATCTGGTGCCTTTCAATAGAAAATAATATTTAGAAACCACAGTACGCACATGCTAGAAGTGTTTATTGCTATTGGGTTGATCATTACTTTTATGTTATTTAAATTGACAGAATTAGGACTTCTTTTAAGATGAAATGCATCAAGCTTCCTACAGATTCAAATAAGGACTAGAGGTTTTTACTCCATCTCTAAATATGTAAATCCTTTTCCCACATCAGGCAAAGTCCCTAACCACTGGGATACACCACTCTTTTTGGTATTTGACATTTACAGAAACCCTAAGGTAGAAAAAGAAGAAATTAGCAACATTTTGGAGATGAGGAAACAACTGCAGAGATATTAGATTTGTCAAGGATGATCCAGATAATATAGTATTGAGCCCAAATTAGAACTCAATTCTGCTGTACCTGATTATTTTCCCATTGCTGAAGTACTCATATCCCTTTATATGTATTTGTAATGACTCAGATGAATACAGTATCCATATATATGAAAATACTAAGGTTATTTAAAGTTTTAGCTTATAGTTATTTATGATTATAACAATAACTTGAGACCAGGCACAATGGCTCACACCTATAATCCCAGCACATTGGGAGGCCAAAGTGGGAAGATTGCTTGAGGTCAGAAGTTTGAGACCAGCCTAGGCAACATAGCCAGACTTTGTCTCTACAAAAAAAAAAATCTAAAAATTAACCAGGCATGGTGGTGCATGCTTGTAATCCCAGTTTACTCAGGAGGCTGAGGAAGGAGGATCACCTGAACTCAGGAGGTCGAGGCTGCAGTAAGATCATGTCACTGCACTCCAGTCTGGGTGACAGAGTGAGACCCTGACTCAAAATAATAATAATAACAACAACCTGATGGTGACAGAGCAACCTTATGAAAAACTGTTATTTTTATGACCTCCTTCTGGTACACCTTCAATCTTTCACTAGGTATGGGCACACACACAAAAAAAATTCCCTCTTTCCAATGTTTAGCATTATTTGCACACTTCTATTAGAAAGTATTTTTCCATTTGAATCCCTTCAGGGCATTATAAGGAAGCTCTGCTAGGTTATGTGAAAGATGTAGTCACACTAGGGTGGACAATAGATTAAAGTGTGTCTCCTTTCCACCACCACCATATCCCAAGATGACACATTTACATTTTAGCATTAGCCTTCACTGCCTTAACCACTAAGGATAATTGTGATTATTTAAAGTCTGTGTGGGTAATATTTGGTATCTCAAATAAAAACCATGCCAATCTAGCACAGTGTATGGATTAGTCAAGACTCTTGGTTACATGAGACAGAACTCCAATCCAAAATAGCTTGGACAAAAAAGGGAACTTATTGGAAGAATGTGGGCTGAAGCTGAGTTAGATTACATTAAGGAATAAAGAATTCAAAATCCATCAGTACAATGTCCTTCTCTTGTCTGTCTCTCATTGTGTCTGGCTCCAATCTTTCAAACCAGCTTCCTTCGTGCAGAAAAAAATTTGGCACATACTTGCTCTTACAGTTTGACCACTACAGAGGTACTAGTGATCCTTCCTGATGTCTAGCTAGAAAAGCATCCCAGGAAAAGGGACTGATTGGCCTGACTGGTATCATGTACCCACCTCTAGACCAATGAACTCTGGTCAGAGGGGAAGAATTCTGTGACTGGTATCTTCCACTTGAACTTCATAGTAGACTTCAGTCTATGGGGTGGGAGAGTTCTGAGCAGCAAAGCAATAAATACCAGTTATATCTGTGGTACATAAGTGGTTACTCACTCAACCAACATCTGATGAGGTCCTCCTGTCACCAGACACTGTACTAGGATTTCTGTTGTGCTGTTTATCAGCAGAGATAACACGTTATGATCATATCTTCTGTGAACAACTTAATAGAGTTTTTCTAACTGGAAGCCATACTTTCTTCTTTGTGAGCTCTTTTGCCAAAAACATGAGGCACAAAACATTGGCCATCAAATCATTTTCTAGTGTCTCATATCATTTTCCCCAGCAAGAAAAAATGTGTACAAAAAGCATTTTCCTGTGCAATGCTACCTTAAGGCACCACTACCCATCTGGTGGCACTACCCACATTTTGACTGTCATGCCGTTCACTTCTCCATTCATCAAATATTTATTGAAGGACTTCCCAGTACCCGGTGCCATAGTATGCTCCGGGGTCCAGGAGTAAACAAGAGAGAGATAAACTGCAACTGTATGCTGTCACAGGAAATTACACAGATAATCATTAACAAACAATCCCAACAATTCATCCCTTTTAGAAATGACAGAAGAAACCATCCTTTTTCCAGTATTTGCTTGGCATGCTAAATCCATGCCTTATACGTTGGGAAAATGCTATAGCAAGATCCCAAGATTACATTCTATCTGCCTTATTCAGATACAGAATATTTGACAACTTGAAAAAAGTGAGTACCATTGGGCATGATGGCTTACACCTGTAATCCCAACACTTTGGGAGGCTGAGGTGAGAGGATTGCTTGAGTCCAGGAGTTTGAGACCAGTCCGGTCAACATAGTAAGACCTCATCTTTAAAATAAAAAAAAGTCAGGTGGGTGACATGTGCCTGTACTCAGGAGATTGAGGCAGGAGGATCACCTGAGCTCTGAAGGTAGAGGCTGCAATGAGCCGTAATGATGCCATTGCAATCCAGCCTGGGTAACAGAGTGATACTTTGACTTTTTTTTTAAAGAAAGCACAGGAATCCTGAAGACAGAGTCTTCCTCACAGAGCCCTCCAGCCCAATTTGCTACTTTTGAAGGAGAATCGCTAGGATCTCCAGAGTGATTGAATATGCAGACCTATCTGGAGCTAGAGGAAAGTAACTGTAGTCACTCACTCTGGCATGGATTATCTTGAAAAGAATCCCCACCTACCAGGAA